TGTCCCAGTTGAAAAACAAGGCAACGAGGTGTAAACTCGACAAAACTTGAACAGCACCTGTACAGCTGTCGTGGACACGCTTGAGCTGACGATTGCCTCAAGTGTTGTCCCACGTCTTCGTGTTGAAGTGCCCTCACTCGAGCGCTCATTACACGAGCCACGGCTCATGGTGTGTGTTTCTAAGTTGCCTCAAGTTAAATTAATTGCGTACAGTTTGACGAGAATGTTTTCTAGCATATTATTTGCCACTTGCAGGCGCTGCTGTACGGCGTTCATCAAGAGGCTGAGGTGGAGTCTCTAGCTGCGGCGTGGAGGGCACGCGGCTTTAACTGCTTCGACGCTGAATCCGGCACATTTTGCGCGTCAAAATAGGCTCCGGACAGAGTCACAGCCTCTGCTATGGCGGCACGATGGGCAACGGTTATTTTCGAACGTCACAAACATCAACATCATCTCGCCAGCGGGATAAGCGGTAAGTCCAAACATTTTGCCACTCTTGCAGTGGGTCAACTCTTAAGTTACAGTCAAAGGGCAGGCAGGCGCTAATAAACCATGTACATATGTCTCTCTCTCTCTCTCTCTCTCTCTGGCCATGTTGTGAGTGTGAGCCAAGTGCCTGTTTGCCACTTCAGGGAACTTTATGCCATCCGACAGTTGTGGGCCATAAAAGCCAATGACGTATGCCGGAAGTCATGTAAAAGCCAGCAGCGTATAATAAGCTCCAACTGGGCATCAATATTTATGGTAGGGTTGCCATTTGAACCACCAATTTATGAGCCCTTGCTCTTCTCTCAAAGGGGTAACACAAGATGAGAAAGCCATGTAGAAGCTGATTTCATATCATGGGGTCAGCCGATGGGTACTTCAATTACGTGAGAAGCGCAGAGGTGGGCACGGGCAGTCAGTTGAGTGAGGAAATGCCTGAGATAAGTAATTTTAAGTCTTTGACTTACGAAGTCTAATACTTATTCGACGTTTCTCCCTGACTGAGTCTAAAAATAATCGAAATATTTGCCATCTAAAAATAATTTGATTAAGTTTTACAGCGCAAACTTTTCGGCTTTTCTTTTGTTTCCAGTTTAAATCTTTTTAGCCAATAAAAAAGAGAAAAGAGAACTAAAAACGAGCTTGTACGTGTGTAACGAGGCCAAGACAAAGGAAAAATCAGAATGTCGAACAAAGTTTAAGGTCCAATGTTTCAAAGGGTGGTCCTGGCCATGTCCATATTATGTTCAGCTTTTGGTCAGCGAAAAGGGCCCGAAATGGAAACTTTATGCTGTTCTTTTGGGACCATGTTCGGCCTTAATAATTAAATTGCCTTTAGCATGCCACAAGCATGAAATTAAAACAAAGGCAAAGCAAACGCTTTGAGATGGCCAATTTTTCCCTATTTTCCCAGCTACAATTAGCGGCTGTCAATTATCTTCGGCGCACTTCAGCTCCTAAAATCAATACTGATTTGCGGCCCAAAGATGCCATAGAAGAGTCTGTGGACTTCTAGCCATTTTTCCAATTAGCGAAATTGCAGCGAGCCATCTCATCAATATGGAACACAATCGCAAGGAGAGCAGCAATTAAAAAAAAAAATAAACGGCTAACGGCGCCCACATGTAAGTGTAAGCTCGGCTGACACAGATGGCCAGGGCGTGGCCGTAACCAGAACTAGAAACTGATGGGTAGACGGTATTAGATGGAAACGATTTACCAACTGCCATTCACTGCCACAGCTCAAATACCAACCAATATGCCAGCTGCCAACGTCGCGTCAGGGGAATTAAAGAGTTGTGTCAGATGGATGACAGAGCAGCGGCAGCTGAGTGAGCTCAGAGCAGTGCAGAGTCCGCTGAGTCAAGCTAAACTTGGCTTTAAATGCGAACATCAACTGTCAGTCTATAGAATTAACATGAGAACCTTCGAAATATTCGCATATTTTTCTAAAATTTAATTCGTGAAAATTGCTTCCTTCCACACTGAGCTCTAACTAGCATAAAATTCCTTCAAACCCTTGCCGAATTCCCTCACAAAGCCTAAAATGCTGAACAAACTTTGTTGGCAGCAACATTCGCATTGTTCCATAATCAATCACAGCTTTAGATCTAAATTAAATTGTGTTGCATACTTTTAGGCTGGCGATGAAATTCTCTTTTAAATATACATTTCAGCTAAAGAGCTAATTGTAATTTGACTCGGCAATTAGTTAATTGAATTTAATATTTATTATTATTATTATTTGAGGGTTGTTTATTGCTTCTAATTATGAATATTACAAGCGCTGACTGCCATGAAATACACATTTCAAAACATTTATTAAAACGTTGCAATGTAATAAAGTTGTTTGCAATGTGCGTCCGAGCAGCTCGAGGTTTCTGGCCAAAACATTCAAATTGTTTTTGTTTTTCTTTTCTATTTTCCGTTGCGGACAGCGCGTGCAAATTGAATTGTGCTTGGGCAGAGTTTGGCAGTTTTATGCGCTGCATTTCATACGCACAGGCGTTGCCTCATTTGCATATACAGGGAAAGGAGAGAAGGGGAGGAGATGGTGGTGCTGCTGGCGCCGATGGTTGTATGGTGGCCATTGCATGTATTGAGTAATAAATTTGTTTTATTGACAGGCTGTTAACGACACCAGGAATGAGAGAATGTAGTGTGCGAGCGTGTGTATGTGGTGCAGATAGAGATGTTAGACACAAGAAATTTTTCTACTACTTTCGACTTTCGATATAAGCAAATCGATTTATGCATATCTCGCACATACAAACATCTTCAATCTACAACTACAGATGGGCACAGGCTTAGCTGAATGTTTGTGTGTCAGTTGTGAGGCATTGACAGGGATCTTCGGCATTTTGTCACGTTCCACAAGTTTCATTGAAATTGACATAAAAATTTCCCGAAATGCCATTAAATGTACGCGTGCAAGTGAGACAAGTATTTGTGTGTGTGAGGGAGAAAGATAGTAACAGAGAATGTGTATGTGTGTGTGCAAGATATAGAATGTGCATACTTATCGTCTACGTATCGACCTTTCCCAGCTTTATTTAACGGTTGTGTTAACTTACCTGCAAAGAGTAAGAGAAAAGTGTTGTTTAAAATCGCTTGATGGCATTTATTGGCTTAAGGACTAAATAAATGTGATCGAATGTGCGAGCAAATTTGCATGAAATACTCCAGTAAATGTTTGAAACTTCGACTTTCGATGTTCATTAAAAAGTTTGCATTTGACCGGAAACTGAAGCAACAGCAACACGAACCACAGCAATCGGTTGCTGGGAAACTTTGTAAATTTAATTATGGAGCTTCAGAAATAGTAAATGTTGACAGACCCCGAGTGAGATGCGAGGTAGCACGGAATCGGTGAAGCTGTGAAGAGGCTCGGAAAAGTTTACCAATTAGTTGAGCATAAAAACTTTTGCCACTGCATATAGAGTTAGATATGCATGTTTGCCTGCCATGGAAATATAAAATAATTGCATTCGCTTGTATTTTATGGTGATGCGCACATTATTGCAGCAATCATACATATATATTTCACAGTTAATTGCACAAAAGGAGCAATCAGACAGAGACGACAACAAGGAAACGCTTTAACGAAGAAAGGAAAAGAACAAAATGAAAGAAAAGAGGAAAACAATTTCCACAACGCCTGCAGCTAGACAACACAAATTGGCAGCAGAGCCTACGTGCATGCCACAAAAGGCAGTGCAACCGCTCCAACTTGCTGCCTTCAAGCACTGACTGTAATTAGCTTATATTGTGCGATATTGTGCCCGACATTGAATTGCCTGCCAGACTGCTGTTCGTCCGTCCGTCTATCCGCTGTCAGTCCGTCCGTCTGTCCCGTATCGTTAGCTGCATTTGCCAGACATTTCCCATGCAATGTCTGATTATTTTGATTATCGGTTGCGATTGCCTTTGAATACTCTATGCAAATTGACAGCAAAACAAGAAAAGTGCATTAAATCAATTTCTTGCCAAACTTTGTGCACTTCATGTAATTTAAAGGCCATAATCCAGCTGAGCTCGCATGATTGCTCGCTCTTGCATGATTATTTTATATTTGCATTCAGTTTTTTGACTCCGGCATAACCTTCTTCTTGCCCCATTGGACTTGTCTGTCTTGTTTACATTCATAAGTTGCTGCCGGGCAGCAGACAGTTGCGAATAAAATATAAGTACAATATCTGTGAGCAGGAAACATGTTTGCCGCAGGAACAACTTCACTTAGCCCAGCTGACAGTTGTTGCAAATATATCAATGTGAAATAAGTTTATGTATAGTTCAACTTCAAGGGCAATTCTACAGGGGATTAGGGAGCATTGCAGACACTTTATAAACATTTATAAACAAATTGTTCGCACATTTTTGACTTTTTTATGTAAGTAAGTGTCAGCCTTTAGCTCCTTTTCTATTAAGTTAGCAACAAAAATAAATTTCAGAACTGGCTTTAAGGCATTTCATTTTAGCCACATGCATTCAGAAATTCTCCCTCATGTTCAACATGGAAAATAATCCAAACAAATACGGCGAAGACCCGGTAAACAAGTTGCTTTTCCCTTTGATTCACTCCACTGGGGAGCAAAAAGAGAGAAAAACAAAAAGCTCAGTAAAAAGTTTTGTTTCTTCAGCATATGCAGAGGGCAAAGGCTGCGGCTGGGTTAACACGGCGAGAGGCAGGCTTATTGTTGATGATGTTATTCTAGCTAAAAGTAAAATGGAGGCTGTGCAGCCCATTGCTATGTAGTTGTGTGCTCAAGTCTCCGTAATATTGGATTTTTTCACTCCGGCTTTTGTTGTTGCAACTTTAAAGACGAGCCGTCAGGGCTGAGTAGCCTGTCGTAACTGAAAAATTCAAGAGTTGCCCAAGGAGCTGCCACGCAGACTTAAGCCGCCATTACACACAGGCAATGGCCACGCCTTGACGCCCTCATGCTCTCGCAGCTAAACAATCCGACTTGGGAATAATATCAAATGCAGTCGAGGCAAGAGACTTGGCATGCGGCATGCGGCATGCGGCATGCGGCATCTCAGCGTTCAACGAGCGTGAAAAGAAGCGAGTGTAAGAGGAAGACTAACAGATTGCTGCAGTGGAAGATGCAAATTGCTGCAACATTCGTGTCGTTAGAGCTTTTCAACTAGTTTCCGCCACTTGAAGATAGCTTTTTTTTAAATAAAAATTCCTGAACTGCAAATGGAATGGACACATAAACAACTCTTGCCTTATATGAAAACAAATCACAGAACTGACCCTCAGAGCGAGGCGCTCAGCGCTCACGAAAGTATGCAGCAACTATACTCGCATTACTGTTGCAAGGAGTCTTGCAGTTGGCGCTGGACGGTCTCAACCGGACTGTGTCGAGATGCTGACACACGAACGCACATTAAACGCCACCAGGGACAAATTTCACTTGATAGCCTGAGATACAAATATATACAAAACGCTCCTCAGGTTTACAGTTAAAATGCTGAAATGTACGTCTGGAGCGGGGTGTTGAGTGTGCAAACTCATTCGAAATTTTGCCTGCCAGGTACAGATTTTAGTTTGTCCAAATTCCCATTAGATCGATAACAATATCCTGAACTGGCTGCGAGACATATTCAATGCGCTGTCAAAATCATAAAATGCCATAAAATATTTATAGTTGACTCCTATACTATATATCCATAAATATATATATTAATTTGTAGAAAATATCGTCCATACTTTTTGCCCAACTTCCTGCTCGGACACGTCCTTGAGCTCGCCTCTTTGTCTCTTGCTCTTGTCGCAGTCTTTCGGTCGCTGCACTTGGCACATCCTGCAGGCTATCAAACAGCACTTGACAACCTCTTTATGTGCGCGGCAGCCGCACGAAAACAAATGCTCAGGCCCGGCCAGCAAACACAACGAAAAAGTGTTAGCTCTGGTCGTCGCAGTTGACTTAATTTATGACACGAAAATCGCTTTTTGCCACATGGAATGGCAAGCATGTTTTTATAAATAAAAAATCGTGTATGCGCGTACATTCCATCGGTTACGGCCACTGAGCAGAGAGAATGAGAGCGAGCTGTAAACAAAAGGCAGCAGAGGCGCTCTGAGGCAGCAGCAGAAGCCCCTCGCAGAAGCACCCGCAGGAAGGCCCCAATGTGTAATCCGAAACGAGACCCGTGTCCAAAGGCTTGCATGCCATTTGCATGCGTCGTCACACGTCAAAACATTTCAAACTCATTTCGCTGACCAAAACGCTGCTCGTGCCCCATCCGGGGGCAATTGCCGGAGGGGAGTTTGTCTTTTGGGGCGCTATTTTGTTTGGCTGACTCCGCAGCTGCTTTTAGTAATTTAGTTTTACGTCATTTCAATGAATTCGCGCTTCACTGCGCGCAGAAACTCTTTGCAGCGACACATACGAGTGACACACACGCCCAAGTGTTGCAAGCTGTTCTTTTATACGTGTATTTTTATGAGCAACTCGCTCACTTCCGGCACTGTGAGCCGTGAGTGAGCGTTAGCTTGTGTGTGTGCTTCATATGACTGCAGCTGCACTTGTGTTAGTGACGCATTTCCGCTGCCATTGTTGCTGTGCATCAGGCCAGGCATAAAGCACTCATGCTAACACTCACACTCATTCACACACTCACTTATAACAGTTAACTAGGTGACGCTGTGGCTGATGACGAAATAGCCAGCAAGAGCAACAGAAACACACCAGCCAGCGGCACGTCAAGAGTTCAATTAACGTGTTTACTTGTCGCTGTTGTTGTTGCTGTTGTTTGTTGTGCTCACAGTTCAGCTGAGTTCACTGCTTGCCACCCAGTCGCCCGACCCATTGGCATTGCCAACTTCACTTGAGTTTACTTAAAATTTATTTCATTTTTAGTTATTTGCCGACATTACGACATTACAACAGTGGCTCAAGAGCTAATAGACTGATGTGGTTAGATCTGGAATGTTACGAAAGAGTCTTTATTTTAATTTAATAATATTTAATTTAATAATATAATGAATCAGTATTACACAACGTCTGTCATCCAGCAGATCTACTGCACTTAGCACTAATGAAGTGTACAAGTGCTTGAGTCTCGCTTTGCAGCTCATCTCCCAGCTGACTTCAGCACGCTCAAAAAGTCATTTCAAACCGAAATTTGCAATTGTAGATCGAAAAAGCTGCCTCATTGCTGCCAAAATCCCACTTGACCGATTGTACACACTCTCTTGCCATTCATTCAACAGGCCTTTGACCAACCTTTCACTGGGGTCACTCACACAAGTGGAGGGGGCTCAAATCGTGTTTTGAGTGCTCGAAAATGGCAACTCTCAGGCAGCAGATGCGAATTGCTGGCAATTCGCAATGCAAAGCGTTAAAAGCAGTTTAATGGCCAAAAGTTAGCAGCTGAGTTTGGTTTAATTGAGCTATATAAATTACTTTTACCTTTCAATTGTGCCCAGCAGCGAAACTCAATTAATGCTAACAAATGCGTTAAACAAACTTGAGAAAATAAAAATAATAACAAAAGTTTTCAAATGTCACGCTAAAGTTCAAAAATTGCATTAAAAGTGCGCGATGCCAAAATTAAATAAATCAACGTAAGACTTGAGAAATTTTTTATAGGCCCACAAAATTACTTATTGTTGTTGTTGTTGCTGTGGCAACTGTGGCATGTAATTTTATTAACCTTAAACAGAAGCGACAAAAGCGGGCGGGCGGTCGGGCTCAAACGGGAAACGTGAAAAATGTTTGGCAGTGAAAAAAAACAAAGCGGCAGCAGCAACAGCAGCAGTGGCAGTGGCGCGACGTCAGCGTCAACGCTGCGCATTCGCAGCGTTACAACTGGCCGCAGAGCCAGCGCGCAGCAGTCGCAGCTTCAGTCTTTCGCGAGGCGCAAACGCGCACACAACACAACACAAACAAAAACGAGCCGCGGTGAGAGCCGCAGCGAAAAGCGCGGCGAAAAAGCAAGTGCATAAAGCGTGCGAGCGAGAGAGCTAGAGACGAAGAACGGAATACAAAGCGTGCGTTGTTTGTGCTATAGTTCGGACTTGGCGTGTTTTTTGTTATTGCGTTTTTATTGTGCATGACAATAAAAGCATTTGTAGCCTTAACCACAAAAATCAACAAAGTGTGCAAAAGGCGGCGTCGGCAGTAGAAAGCAGCAGCATCTACCCTGGGCGAAAATTGTGCAAATAGCGAGGCTTAAGTGTGTTTATTTGCACTGGGCCACGGCGCCGGCGTCAATGTGGGCCAACCGCAAGATACACAACACAAGACAGCAAACACACGCACACTCACACACGCATAATTTGTCAATATTTGCGCTTATGGCAAACGGAGCCGCAGCCGCAGCATCATTAAGAATCTACACCAACGCCGCATCGGCGCTGTCAATGAGTAAATTAATGTGACCATTACCATTTGCATTGGGCCAGCTTCAAGGATTGCTGCATAGATAAAGGTGATTGCACCATCTTGACGGCCATTAATTATGCCTGGAATAATGGGAAAATGATTGATGCTCGCATAATTTGTTGCAGGGCAAAGGCAGCTAAAGTCGGCAAGAGCCAACTGAATCTTGGCGAATAGAAGTAGCTAATATCGAAAAGATACACTAAAGTTTTGTGCCATGACTGTAGAAAGCAATAAAAATTCTAGCACTTGTCTGCTCGTAAATAGTAAACTTTTATTACGCGAACATTTTTGGCAAAACGCTTCACTGCCTTGGCTGACATTTACTATGAGCTGCCGGCGAACAAGCATTTATTGTGGTCAAGTGCGCTGCAGGTCTCACTGTTGCAAACTAATTATTCTTCATAGTCGACAGCCGTTGCAATTTCCATATGATGTATGGCTGGAATTGATATTGTTTGGAATCGTGTTCATGTCAGGGTTCCAAAGCGAATTGTGGCTAGGCAAAGCCAAGGCAAAGTAAATTGATTTAGCATTTATTAGAGACAGTGTTGCTGTCCGGGTCTAAATTGAGAACTCTCCAAAGCAGCTCCCCAGCTCTGTCTCTCTCTATAAATTTCGCCGCACTCGCATTTCGTTGCCTGCGGCGCCATTAGCATCAGTCGACGTTCAGTTATTGTTGTTGCTGTTGTTGGCTTGTCGATGGAATCATCGTGGAAATTGGCAAATATTCGAAAATGTCATTGCAAATGTCGCGTGTTGTTGCCGTCGCTCTGGCTGACGTCGCTGCCTGCGGCCCTGTCATCAGGTTTTTGGCAGCTTTTGCTTTTTAGGCAATTCATTTCGACCGGGGCCCCTCGACTGCGGCTCTTCAGCTCATCGGCTCTTGAATGTCTATGCTCTGATTGTTTAAGTGTGTTTGCCTGGCTTCATATTTATTATATCTCGTCTCGTCTCTCTTTAATATTTTTCCTATTTATTCTAGTTGGGCAACTATAAAATATGCTGTGTGAAAAGCGCCATTGCAACATTTTTTATTTTAACTGTTATTTTTTCTAGCTATTATTTTTTTGCGAGTTTATGCTTCGCTTATTGTTGCAGCTCTTCATGTAAATTGTTAGCCGTGGCTTATTGTGTTTGCTGTATTTAGTTATTTTTCTATTTTTTGCCATTTTTTTTTATTCGCCCAATAGTTTTCTGTGTTAATTAATTTGAAGCTGTCATGCGAGTTGGCCATTTCCATTTTGGCACGAATATTTCTTTATATTTTTGTATTGTTTTTATGTTTTCATGTTTTTTGTTTTTAGTGCTTTTTGCATATATAATTAAATTAGCAGCTCTGCTCTTTAATGATGTGCTGTAAATTAATTCGCGTGCTTTTATTAATGCCAGCATTGCCTGGCATTAAACTGTTTAAAATTTCTTGCGTTAAATTAATTTATTGATTTTCATGTTTGATTTTTTTATTTAATTAATTTTAAAACTCAATTTCAGTGCATAAATTATGGCATTTTTAGGAGCCGGTGATGACATTTTAAACAGATATACATATTTTTTCTTTGAAAACATTTAGTGGCATGCAACATTTCAGTGAGCTTATTGAAATCATTTTAAATAAAAAGAGGGCAAAAGTTTTTTATGTTTCGGCATTTTATGCATCTCACGTATTGAGTAAGCTAAATTGCAAATAAAACGCCAATAAAAAGAAAAACACGTGACTTGAGACCGAATTAAATTTGCGATTACTTCAAATGCTGACAGTCATAAAATGCAAACACTGAAAAACAACTGTAATTAACGTAGTTCTTTGCACATCATAAGTGTAAGTAAATACGGCTTATACATGTTTAAAGAATACGTATACGCGTTGTTGTTTTTTTTTTATTCGAAAGCAATTACAGCTGAAAGCACATCGCAAACAGCACAAAGAACACTACTCTATAGGCAAGAAATATTATATTAAGTTGCAAAAATGCAATTAAAGCAACGGAAGATAAGAGTGCTTGACTAGCAGATACCCAGTGTCGCGTAGCGTGTGTTACGGATATAAAGAAAAAGGCAAGGCAACTATCCTCGTTTAAACTGTTTCTCTATCAAATATTTTCCGTTTGTCATTTTCTCTCTCTCGCTTAATTTCTATTTATCTCTCTATTTCTCTTTTCTTCAATCAATTTTGAATCTCTCTCTCTATCTTAATCTCTCTCTCTCTATCAACCTCTTTCTTTCTCTATCTCAATCTCTCTCTATCAACCTCTCACACTTTCTCTTTCTTTATCTGTCTCACTTTCTCTCTAAGTCTCCCTCTGTGTCTCTCCCTCGTTCTTCTTCTCAATCTCTCGATCTACCTCTCTCTTTCTCTATCTCCCTTTCTCACTCTCATTTTCTTTTTAATTTTCTTCTCTCATTCTCAGTTTTCCCCACACTTTCCCTCTATCTCTTCTCATTCTTGGTCTGTCTCTTCCTCATCTTGTATGCTACAGCTACCCTGTTCACCCACTCTACAGGGTATGAAACTTCAAAGTAAAAATAGCAATAAAGAAATTAACAGAATTTTCTTTAAGGTAAAGTTCCACAAGATCACAAGATATATACACTTAAAGATAGCCGCTCGACAAAACACGCAAATAGCAGAAGGAAAATGTTTTGCGAAATTTTTGCAGACAATGCCAAAGTCTTAAAGAGGGCGGGGCACTGTGTGTGTGTGGTTTTGCCAACGCTAATGACAGTCACCTAATTAACTTTTAATTGAATTACAAAATAAAAGCGCAACACGAAATTCTTACAAGAGCAAAGACAATATGTACTTAAGCCCATGCCACAAGCTCTGACCCCTGACCTTCTCACCCCACATGAGCTGGATATGTTAAGCCGAGGTAATTGAGGTTTGTTGTTAAAGCTAAGTAAATCCAAGTGTGGTATGACAAGAGAAGAATCTCTTGATATAGCGATTCATGCATAAAATGCAAAGAAGCTAAGTTTTGGGCTTACTTTCTCGTTTAAGCTTGGCAACACATGTGCACACAAGCGGACATATGGTCGATTTCCATATAGGTCATCGTTGTGCCGCACTCAATGCAGCTGCAGCTTGGCCTATTTGTGGTGCCGCTTCATAAACTTTGGCCAGGCGTCGACGTCTGCCATTCGTAAAATGTGAGAGTCGGCAGAAGCAGCCAGTGCTGTGGCAGCAGCTGCCGCCCAGACACTCAAACAGCACTAGACGCCAGCATGGCGCCCCACAATCCTGACGTTGGCATTCGCAAGGTTCGCATTTCGCATAGTTAAGCATTAGATGGCAACATTTGCAATTGTAATGGGCGCCGCCAAAGTTGGCAGCATTCCAAATGCCTTCCTTTAACCCCGCCCCGCCCGCTCTGTTTATCACATCCTGCTGGGCTCGCTCGCTTATTTTGCCAGCAGAGGCGGCACTAAGGTCAGAGCAGACAGCTAAACTACTGTGGGCTGCAGCAATTAACATACTCGTAGACTCGTCCAAACGAAGAGCTTGCTGTTTTTCGAAAGTATTTATTTTAAATATTCAGGTAAAAGTAAACCAAATAAAGGGGATTAAATGGATGTAAGCACCTGAGCCAGGTGCTTGAATACACATTTAATTTGTTTCTATTGCAAATAGTTTCGCTCTCTGCAGCAAATGATTCAGAAAAACGTATGATTTGCATAGCTCTAAGAAAAACTAAAGAACAATCAATTTAAAGAGGAATTATAGTAGATCTAAGTTCTGTTTTTATAGGTGTATCAGGATTAAATAGCTTAAGACATAGCATAAGACATATGCACAGATGTAAGCTTAACTCAGCAGCAGCGTTGGAAAGGTCCCAGAAGAACGAGTTCTTAAGACCTATTCATAGAGAGTAACCTACTAAAAAGCTAGCTTATATAACTCTTTCAATGAGAGGCTCACTGCTGATAACAACTGTGAAAGAAAAATTTAATACTGAAGAGAAATTTCTGTAGACGTAGTCACTATAGATCAAAACTATATATTTCTACGTTATGTTAATTGAAAATCAGCTTCAACTTTGATAGGTGCCTTAAGCCAATACGTTTAAAGCCATCTTTTTGTTAGCCATTGGGAGCTTGTAACATTTCATTTTGTAGTTCATGGTTAAGCAAATGCGCAATCAAGCCATCCAATCAATCATGCAATTCGCAGCAGACTTCGAACATTTACAAAATGCCAAATAGCTTCAGCTTTTACCTTGTAGCGACGCTCTCGCCGCCGCTCTACTCCCCTCTTTCCCTGCCACACAGCGCAATTGTCGCAATGGGTGCCCCAAAAGCTGTGGCATATCCCACGCTTCATTTAACAAGCGACTGCATATCAAGCAACAGCCAAGCAGCCAAGGTGGCGCAACCTTTTAAGTCGATATAAAGCTGCAGGAAAAAGCGGAAAGGAAAATCTAGGCAAAAGCTGAGACCTGGCAAAAGCAACAGCAAGCAAAAGGCAATAAGCAATTGGTTGGCTTAAATGCTTCGATGAGCAAAGTGTTTCTCGACTTTTGCTGCCACAGAGTGTGCACCCAGCGTTTCAGCTTCTGTTTCTGCTGATTCGTAAAACACTTTGACTCTAATATATGTGCTCAACTTATGCGAATGTGTGTGTGTGTGTGTGTGTGGAAGTGTACAAATGATTCCAATTTACGTTTATCGGCCTAGACATTTAGGCTTAATTCACTTAGTGGTCAGCAGGCAATACCTGTTAAACAGAAAGCTTAGCTATGCTGTTTGATGGCCAAACGTGTCATAGAGTTCTGCTAAGCTTTAACTAATCAAAGAGAGCCAAGTTTGCTAATAGAAATCTGGGCTAAACTTGAGATACCATAAAAGACAAGTTAAACCTAATTAAGAAAAGTTTAAATATCTAATTTGTTAACAACTTTCTATTCACATTTTGTCTTCTCTTAATAGCGGCAAGGACAGCTACAGCTATCAGCATAATTACGTGGATCGCGTGCGCCTGGAGGATACGAACGGCAATCATTATCAGCAGCAGCAGCAGCAGCAGCACCATCAGCACTACGCACACCACCATCAGAAGACCACACACGATCCACGCTGTCCGCAGCTGCGCGCCGCTGGCTGGCGTCACACGCACAAATCTGTCTCGCATCTCGATTTGGCCACCAGCTGCCATGGCGCAGCTGGCGCTGGCATAGATCACAGGCAGAGGCAGCTGTTGCACCATCAGTCGCACCACCCGCACCATCCACAGCCGCCGCTGACGCCGCACGCGCAGCCCCATTGGACACAGTGCCGCGTGGGCATTGCCACCGCCGTTGGCCAGGGTCAGCTGAGGAACGCTCGCTCTTTGGACTACACGCAGCTGGAGCGTGAGGAGAACGCCTTGGACATAGCCGAGTTCTATTGGCGATTCGATGCGGAAGCGCCGCTTGAGCAGGTCGACAACTACGCGGGTGAGTTGGCTGGCCACCACCAGCCGGCCTTCAGTTGAATGCACTCGAGCATAACACGAAATTGAATTGCTTTTTAGTTAATGATAACTACGAGTCAGCAGCTCCTTCCCCCGCTGCAACACCAGTAGCCGCAGCCTCCGCGCCAGCGGGCACAACAGCAGCAGTAGCCACGACAACAACAGCAACCACAACATCGGGGGCAGCAACAGCAGGGGCAGGTGCAACAGCGACAGTTACTGCCACATTCCTTGACTTTGGCAGCGAGTCGTGCAGCTTGCGAAGATCGCGCAGCTTAGCCGTGATACGTGAGGAGACATTTAGCGATCTGCAAATTGGCTCCGCAAATAGCAGTCGCCGGCGATCGCAGCTCATACCGCGTGCGCGGCTAGTTAATCGCGGTTTTTTCCGCGAATCGCCAAGGTGAGTCATAACAATCAAAAAAAAAAATCATTAAATGTACACTAAACTACAAACTAGGCATTAGACATGTGTCTAGACATCTAGACATGCATATGGAGAAGTAGAAGAGATAGTAGAACTGAAAGCAGTGGCAGGCATTGGGAAACAATTTATCAAATGAATTATATATTTATTTTAATATGAACTATTATACATATATTACGAATTTGAGTAGGCATAAATCATTATGACCCGACCGAACTTCAGTCTCTGCTGCTCAAGTCTCCAAATACATTTCTCGAATTGTTTTATTTAATATTTTTCCCAGTTAACTGGCCCGTGTGAACTGTCAGCTTAATTAGTTATGCCAAAATCTATAATAGAAGCAGCTCATAATTACAACTTGATGATGATGTTTAATTATTGTGCTGTCTAGTGTATGACTGGCAGTAAAACACGCATACGCCACGTATAACGTAAAGCGCAAAACGTAGTCAAAACAGTTGGCGCTGAGCATCTTTTCAGTTGTTACGCGACGTTTGGGGCCTGCTCAACAGGTTAGCGCAATTGTTTTTATTCACCTGTCTTCTGATTGGCAATTGTAAATGTTTCCATAGCTGTTTGCCACTGTTTATGTTGTGAATGTAGTTTGACATGGCGTGCGACCATTTTGTGTGCGTGCTTTTCAATACCGCAAACCGAATCGATTGCATAACCGATTTGGTTAATTGAGCTAAAAATTGTGTTTGAAACTAGTTGAAGCCGCTTCGAGCAACTGCACTGTGGCATGTTTGACAGTTATACAAGCGCATCCTTGTCTGATTTATGTCAGAGTCAGATGCTCTTAGCCAGGATACCATTAAAGCCAATGACAAGCAGCTGTCTCCGTGCAATTGCAGTTGCAGTTGCTGTCACAGTTTTGCCAGCGGCTTTCATTTAATTTGCCGCAAATCGTCGCGTCAAGTGGCTTGGCTAAACAAGCGACTAAGTGCAACGTGAGCTGTAAACTGAGCGGGGCAGCTGAGGCGGGGCGTGGCTTAACTTAGATCGAAGGTTGAGCACGTAAAGTACAAAGAAAATTACGCTAAGTGTGCGATAATAAAAGCTTAGTTGGGTTCACGACATGCATCAACTGAGCTGAGTGTGAGCTTAGCTTCAGCAGTGATAAATATCTGGAAAAACATTTAGTCTTGCTTGCACACAAATCTGTCTAGTTGTCAGTCGTATGGCAAAAGCCAGTAATTTATTCTAGTTGAGTTTAGGCAAATTCCAGATTATCCTGCGGTCGTTGCTTTCACCATTTGCCTTCTGTTATTTGATAAACTGACTATTAAATCGAATTGATTGTGTGCCAATGTCAAAGCAATTGTTTGGCTGGCAACTAGAGCTCAATGCCCAAACAAGGCCAGATTGTGAGACAATCGCTGAGCTCGGCTATAATTTAGTTTTGATAACCACCAACAATCAACAAATGCAAAACAATAGCATCATTATAATCTCAATTCCCATTTTGACTCGACGCCCCCAACAGACTGCACAGCAAACAGCAGCAGCAAAGCGCAGCGAGCGAGCAGACTGAGGCAGAGGCAGAGGACACCCAGAGCAATACAAGCGGTGCAACTACTTGCGATTCGCATCAGCAGCAGCACCAAACGCTGCTACAGCAACAGCAGCATCAACAGCAACAGCAACAGCAACACCAACAGCAGCAGCAACAACATAAGCATCATCATTGTCCACAGAGACAGCGACATCAGAACGACGCTCGTGACTTTGACGTCTATTACGATAATCTTAAACGCTTGGACGCCTTGGCATTGGGCCTGAGCGAGCAACTGCATCCGTGGCACAACGACAAAAGCGATTTGGAGAGCTTGAACTCGGATTACTTTAAGAACTCACTGCACCAGAACCACTCCGAGCAGCAGCAACAGCAGCCGTCCTCGTTAGAATTTGAGGCACTTGAGCAAGCGGTTACCCTGCTCAGTGAGCGGCCACGCATCTATCAATCCCGTAGACAGCAACAGCAGCAGAGGGCACATCATCACTGCCATCAGCAGCAGCGACACATTGATCTGAGCGGCGAGTCGTGTCCCGAACTTAGTCAGAGCAGCGTATTCCCAGAGACAACCACCAGCAATTCGGACGATCAAACTGATAGCCCTTCGCTCTCCGAGCAGGAATACGATCTGACGCACATTGAGCAAATCTTTCAGCAAAGTGATGCTGGCGAAGTGGAAGAGAGCTACGAGCTGATCAGCCTAACAACTACGACACGCACACGCTTCGAGAGCAGCGAAGAGGAACACGGCGAGGAGGAGGACTTGACTGAAGCTGAGCAGAGCCTAACCACGCCCAATGACACAGCAGCCAGCGACAGCGATGGCACATTGAAGCGTGCACATAGCGATCAGTTAGACAAGCTAATTGCCTATGACTCGGTATACTTGTCGTCCGAGGACAGCTCCGAGTGCACTCTAATAGGCGAGAGCTGTGAGAGCTTCGAGAAGCGCACACTCACCAGCTGCCTGGAGAGCGGAGAGCTAGAAACACGTAGCCTGCTGCATATATCAATAGAGGATAGTGTATACGAGCCCCAACCCAAGCAGCATAAAAAGGAAGAGGAGCGAGAGAGGGCGCGCGAGCCAGAGCAAGAGCAAGAGCAGGAGCAGCCACTGCTGACCACTGCCAAGGTAGAGGCACAGATATATACACAGGTGCTCAAGGTTGAGCAGGCGCCCAGCAGCGCCATCAATGTGGGCGTCACGTCCAGTGCAGCCAGCAAGCCGAGAATTCTGAGTGTGGTCGAGAAGCGGAAACTGAAACAGGAAGAACTAAAGCAACCGACTCCGCCCGAACTAAAGCGCCAGGCAACTGACACCTTTGTGGTGACAACGACGCACAAATCGAATCTAACTGAGAACCAGTATCACAGTCTTCCGGATGTTAATATTGGTGTTAGTCTAAAAGTTTGCGAAAATATTGACAAGGAGCTCCGGACATCCTACAATCTACAACGTCAGCAGCAGCGCAAGGAATCCAAGCGACAGAAAGGCGGCGAGAGCGGGGAGGTGACACGAGCAGAGACCTACGATTCCATAAGACGCTTTGGTCGAGCTCATCAGAAGGCCAGGCAAAAGGAATACGAGGAACGTGAAAGGCAGCGCGAGAGGGCAGAGACCACTCACGCAGCGAAAAAGGAAACTAACCAAGAGGCAGAGACCGAGCAAAGTGAGGAGCATAAAGGAGAAGCTGTGCAACAGGAATTACCCGCACCCCTTGAGGTGGAAGTAGATGTTGAGCGGAGCATTGAAGCGGAAGAGGAGCCACTGCCACCACCACCACCGCCCATAGCCGACGACGAGCTAAACGAACACTATTTAAATAACGAGACCGAAGGCGATAACAATAACGATAACGATAACCAATCAGTGTCCCTAGCCCAGCTGGAGCAGCCCAAGGAGGCGCCCGTCATTGAGGTGGCGAATTTCAGCAAGTTAATTGAGCGACGCGCCCAAGAGATCAGACAGCGAGCCAAGGAACAGCCCGAGGAGACATCCCAGCCACCATCCTTTCGCATTATTGTCACCGACGCACACAACAACATAATTCAAACGGAAGCGATTCAGGAGGAGCAGAGCAAGTCAAGCACAGCGCCCACATCTGCTGGAGCTACAAATTCAGTGCACTCCAATTCACAGCGCTCGTTGCGACGCTCCAGCAGCTCAGCGGGTGGCAAACCGCCAGAGCGCCGAGTGCTCAGCGTCGGAGCTGCCATTTATAAGGCTAGACCCATTAAGGTGCTGTCAACGGCCAGCGGCGATTCGTTCGCAAAAATGTCGCGACCGCAAATTCTGCATGTTGTGGACAGCAGCAGCCGCTGTGGCAATGGCGCCGGCAACCTGCGGCGACGCAGCAGCGCCCGCAGCATAGCCAGCAATGTCAGCAATGAAGGCGGCGAGGCAGCCACGGAATTCCTGCAAAAAGTTGGTGCAGTCAAATGTTATTGGAAGCGGCTAGCGGGCAATGAGCCAGCCAATGAAGAGTCCAATGCGAAGCAGAGTTCGCGACTCAATTTCCAGCTGGGCACAAAAGTGACGCCGCAGAGCGAGAAGCCTTCAGGCGGCAACAATGCCGACTACTGCAGCATCATGCCGCCCTCGATTGAGATTGTGGAGCTGGGCGACGGTGCACAGAAGGCAACGATTGTGAGTGCTGCACAGCAGGAGCGACAGGAGGATGATGATGAGGATGCGGCACAGTTTGATCATATACGCTACAAGGTGCTCAAGTCGCAACAGCTGATTCGCAGCAACATTCTGACCACACGCAACAAGAAGGAGGCGCAGTTCGATGGACTCATTCAATACCTGCAGGACTACAGCTTTCAGGAGCTGTTGAGCAACAATAATGTGGTTATCGTGGAGCCGGTGCGTACTAAAATCGAACGACCCCTAACTGTGGGTGTCACAGCAGCGCCACCAAAGCCTCCCAGGCAGACAAGCGCACAGCCAGGTACGACGGCGCCCAAGAAGGTGGTACAGCGTCAGGTGGGCGGCGCAGGTGCGAAGAGACACTTTTTCTACCAGCCCGTGAGAGTCAACCGGGAACTCTATGAGGACGAACTGCCCGATCCGGATACGGTGCGCAATGTGCGTCGCTTCTTTGAGCGCAACGTGCTGCCAACACCTGGTCAAGGTATACTCGCGCATTCGCGGCAAAAGTTTGGTGGTTCCGCCTGTCACCTGAGTCCGAAGAGCCGGCGGGCGCATGGCTATCGCTATTTGACCATCGACACAAGCTTTGGTGCAGCATCAGGAGGCACTGCCTTGACCGAGGAGCAGCCCAAGGGCATGGAACTGCTGGAGGAGCACAAAGTCAAGCACTGGGACAATGCCAGCCTATCGAGCGGCATATCCAGCGGAGACCTGTCATCGCCCTGCGGCGAATGCCACAATCAGACCGAAACGTTGGCTAAAGAGTCGCCCGTGATGGCATGCAAGGGCGTGCACGTGCTGGACGTGGTGCGGCGACACAATAGCAATGCGGCGAATGCCAAGGCCAGAGCAAAGCTGGCCAGCCGGCGCACCTGGTGTGTGGGCGGGGCGGCAGGTGATTCGCGCTACCGACAAATTTATGAGCACAATTTGGGACAGACGCAGCTGGAGGCGGACACGCAAGATGAGCACGACGGACAGGAGAATGATAATCATGACGAAGACGTCGACGACGACAATGAGGACGACGACGTGGAGACGGACATGTGCGAGTCATATTATGTGAGCAATGTAAGTAGCAGCAAATGTCCCAATGTCCAGTAACGGCCTGCGTGCGCCTTTATGGACCATTACGCTTTGATGACAGCGCATTAAGCTGACGGCCAAGCCCAATTCCAACTCACTTTCCCTTTCTCTCTCTCTCTCACTCTCTCTCTCTATGTTTGTACAAAAGGACGTGTTGGCTAAAATACGAGAATGCGGCTCCACAGTTACCTACTATGGCGGGCAAGTGCTGGAGAGACAAGCGCCCACAACTCCAGCAACAGCAGCAAAGGCAATGCATATAAATCCACGTTTGATTAATGGAAATTCGAGCACTGCTACACGCTTGCGAGTGCGCCAAATCGAGTCGTGCAATGTCTGTCCGCCCCTTGAGAGCTGTACGCACAACCGGGAACAGCAACAGGATTCGTATCAGGGTAAGCGCACGATTCACTAGTAATCACATCTTCGCCTCGCATTTCATCATTCTCTCTCTCCCTCTCTTGCTCTTCTTCGGTTGCAGGCATTAAATTCAAGCTGGTCAAGTCGAACAGCTGCAGCAGCCGGCTGGAGCTGGCGGGCACTGATGAAGGTGACTCCTTGCTGGCAGATAGCGAAGTGGTGCGCAAGATGGTTCATCACTTTGAGTGCAGCCGACAGCCAGCAGCTAGCGATGGCCATCTGACCATTAACAGTCAAAGCACCGCCGCCAAGAGAGCACAGCTTCACCAGGCGGCAGCTCGTCGACAAGTGACAGTAAATAATCACATCAATGTGCTGCGAGAGGCATCGCAGGCGGAGCTGAGTGAGTCCCAAGATGTGCATGATAAGCAGATTGGAGGCGCAACGACTTATCAGAGCCAGGCCATGAACATACGGCTTGACTTAAGTGCGGGGCGTGGCAACAGCAGCTCTGATAAGCCAGGCAATAACAGCAAAGTATGTCGCAATAAAAATGTGGATTTGGCCTATACGCTGGCCAAACAGCCGGAAGCTAGGCCAGGGCACGTTGTCAGTCCGAGCGCGCCCACTGCCAATCAGCACACATTAATGAAATTGACCAAAAAGCCGGAAATCACAGCTCGTGAACAAATCATAGTGCCTGTGGAAATACACCAGACGCAACAACAACCAACGACACTCAATCAGGAGCGTCGACTGAGCAATGCGAGCAGCAGTGCATCCATTGTGGACAAAACTGTGGTGCGACACTATGTGGCCAATGACAAGAGTATCTACGAGCGACGCAAATACGACGAAATCGAGTTTGAGGAATTCGAAGTCTACGATCCAGCCAAAGAGCTGGAACGCCAGCAACAGGAGCAGCAGGCCGAGCAGGCCGAGCAGTCGCATCAGGCAGAGCTCTCCAGAGACTCCATAGACAAGAGGCACACGGATGGCGAGCTCTACGACAGCCTCGACGATAAAATGTAGAAGAATGCTCAATTGGAAAACAAGCAACGACTTTTTGGGCTTTGGGTAAACGCTAAGGTTTCTCTTATAAGCTAAACATATATGAAATATAAATTATATAGCCTAGCATTACATAAGCACACAGCTTTACAGGTAAAGCCAAAAACAACAAGCAAGAAGAAAGAAAGAGAAAAACCAAACATCCAAAAAATATATTATACAAACTATATATATATTATAATCCAAATGAGTTGAACTTTCATTTGTCGATTTAAAGGCTGTCAATTTATTTACGTGCTGAAATATTTATAAATTATTGGGGTTGTGGTATGGATTTTGTAATTATGGCTGGCATTGCGGTTGCATTTGGTGGGGCTGCAGTCGAGATAATTACAGCCATTAATTGAGTATGAGTTCAACTAATCTGTAACTAAATGACAATTTATGACAAATTATCCTTGAATGCCGGTTTCAATTGAGCTATTTAATTGGCAGCTCAATAAGTTGAACGAACTGAATACTTCAATAATATATTAGATATTTATATAAACAAAATCCAGTGAGAGATAAAAGTTTGATTAGCTGCAGTATTATTTTATTATTTTTATAATTTTTTGTAGGATTTGAAAAGTTGCCCAGTTTATAGTACTATATTTGAATGTATTCGGAGTAGTTCAAAGTGCTATTTTCCGTAGGTATTCTGGGTTATTTACGATACGGATTCTGGTCAGTAATATTCACATCTCAGATCTGATAGTGATATTGCTTTGCTTCTGTGCTTTGCAATTTTCAGCGCTGTTTGGGCTTTACACGTTTCTTATTTCTTCCGTAACTTTTCAGAACTTGTTCCTTTTTAAACTGTCCTGTTTGGATATTGGTCAGTCAGCGAATTAGCTAATTTGTAACTACAGTTACTTACTGTATTCTAGTACATTCATGTACTTTTTCTTTCTTTCCTTTCTGGGAGCTTGTTTCTGTTTGCTATTGTCCATGCGTGGAAAATTATTCTTTTGCTTATTTACATTCAGGCGCTCTCTCAGTGCATTGAAATTTTTCCGGTCCTGGTTAAGCTGTCGTCTGATGTGTGCTAAATTTCTCAAATTGTTCAAATTTTTTGTTGTCATGAATGAGTTCACTTTATTCGCTAAGTCACGTGGCTGATTGTCTCTTGCGGAATTTGCTGTGTTAAATCCTGTAAATGAAGCTGAATGAATCAGCTCGAATAACACGACCCCACAACTACGCTAACAAGGGCCTAGTCGAGCCAGGCACTCAACTCCAATCAATTTTCATATTAAAGTCAAATATTTACAACAACATTTACATTGGGTAAACATTGAAAGGATTCTCTTACCGATGGCCAGGGATTGTTTTTTGTGCTTTTCGTGCTTTTTCCGCCTGTCCTCATCGTCGTCAGTTGAAGTCGTTCCCGTGGCAAAATTTCTGTGCTGCTGTTGATCAATGCCGGGCCAAGCGCGCTGCGAACACAGAAGCACGAAGCCATGGAAAGAAAAATGTTGTTAAATTAACATTAATGAATACATTACGGCTTATTGGTTGTGGCTTAAATTGGTCATAGATCTTGCTACTGCCAAAAGGCATTACTGCACACATACATATATAGATTAAAAGCAGAGACAAGTGTGAATCACCTGCCCAAGCTGCTCGTCTAGCTGCCTGTCGCGTATGTTGCGTGCATGTCTCAACCATTCCTAATTAAGTTAAAATGCTCCCCAGCGAAATCACGTGCCTTCCATAACCAAACAGCAGGGAGTGGGGGAGAGTAAAAGCCACGAAATAAAGGAGCATCATGCGTTGGAGCAGCAGGTAAATCTAGCAAGAGTAAATTGCTGATGGGGGTTGATGGGTGAATGGATAATAACAAGGCTTGCTTCGTGCTGGGCACATTTTGTGCTTCCCCACTCCAACTCCGTCTCTCTCTATCTGTCTCTCTCACTCTGCTATTGATTGCGAGCAACGTTGCGTATGAGCAATCTAACGCACACAGCACGCAACTGAAAAGTTATTTTTTTTTATTTTATGTTATTCCAACTCAACTGGGAAAAATGCAAAGGAAAATCGACACCGAAACTGTTTACCTTGTCATTTACCACATACACAGAAATATGAAGGCAAGACAGAAGCAGAGTCAACTTCAGTTGTATGATATGTCGTCAGGAATTTGAAGTGGCAATGATTGAAATGATAGCCATCAAAAGTAAAGACATCAAAATAATGACTTTTATCAGACTTCTCTAAAAAAAAATACCTCTTAAATTGGAATTTTCATTTTACTTTTCTGCTTGAAGTAAACTTCTCATCTACACTCAATGTGCGCTTGACTTTCTAGCTTTCTATGTGTACCGATTGGATTGGATTTTGCCCTTGACTTCAATCAAGCGCTTCAATAATTCAGCAACTTGTATTGCGCTAGAAGCTGAGTAATTGAAATTTAAATAGTGAATAAATGAGGGAAAAGTCGAGTGCGTGTTGCATATATATAGAGCGTATTAGAGCTGCAGCAGCTGAGCATAAATCAAACTTCCATTTATATTCCTCTAGTTTTTTCTATGCTCTGGCATTTATGATTTGTGATTTGTGATTTGTGTTGGCTCTGTCGCTCCGACTGCGCATTATTGATGAAGAGCTCGCACTTCGGGACCAGCTGGATGATGGGGCCGTAACAATTTGACAGCACGTTCCAAACAACAACTGTGGGGCACATTCAATAAATGATAGATTGAGCGCCGAGTCAGAATTCCAAATTGCAAATAAAATGCAAAACTTGGCAAATTGAGTTGGCAAGTGTGGCCAAAACTGTCAGCCAACATTAGAAGTTAACAAATGAAACGTTTTTTGAGGCGCATAAATTTAACAAGCTCCGACAGCCACCCAAGCCCAAGCCCACGCATCAAGCCACCAAACAACCCAAAAGTATGCTACACGCTGCCATTGTTTGTCTTGTTATTGTTGTTTCTTTTTGGGCAGTGCTGAAGGCAAAAGTTTTTATGATCATCCAAGTAAATTGAAATCACAGGCGCTCGAACAGCGGAAACGCTGCCGTCTGCTGAGCTTATGGCTTTAAACGAAAACGAAAATGAAAATGAAAATGAAAATGAGAATGAAAATGTTATTTCATAAAGTACACCTGCCGGATCCTGCCGGAGAGGTTGATGCCACCAGCCGCAGCTTAAACTTAATTTGTGCTTAGGGGACAACTTTAAAGAGCAGCCAAGTCAAGGCACAACTTTGGCCGTGGGCGTTGCCCATGCTGCGACGTCGCGACATATTGCAGGAATCGTTTCATATTGTGCAGAACAATGCGCCGCATCCACCACTGAGATGAACTAATTCGGGTCTAAGCAACCGAAAACAAACAAACAACAGCCAACACACAACAAACAAAACATACGCGCAACACACAATCAAACAAGGGCGGCGCAAGCTGGCATTAACGACTCAACTGAGCCGAGCTGACAAAAGAGCCTTCAGCCAGGCCAGAGAGACAGCAGCGGGGATGAGCAGGCATAAAAGCAGCTGAGTATACAAAGACAGCCTACCTAGGCTGCTACAAAAACAAACAGCACAAGTGCAGTCAGCAAACACGCAGCAGAGCAGATGTTCCTCAAAACTCTTTCGCGAGACACACTCTCAGTGGATTCCAGGTGACGTACGTATAAAGACAACTGTCCGTTGCATACTTTTAGGCGCCCCTTAAAAGACAGCTTGAACGTAGAGTCTTGCTCAACTAACATCACTAAGCCTGGAACAAACTTAACAGACGTGCATGTATTATCCCAATTTAAACCGTTTGCAGCTATTTAGACAAATATTATCTTAGCTAATTTATGAATTCTGACAGCTTCAAGAGAACTGCTTTAATAAACATAAACTCGACGAGCTAGAAAGCCATCAGCTTAAGTTTATATTTGGCTTAAAAAAATTAAAAGACCATCAAAAGCGTAGAATCAAAAGTTAGCCAAGTTGGCCAAGCTAAAAGCGACTCTCATTCATGGAACACAGCAACAAAACGGCATGGAATTCAAAGCAGCGCGCTGCTTGGGCAGGCGACGGAACGAAACTGCAGAATATTAACCCTTTCTAAGCCCTTCCTACCGATTTTGCCTTGTAAAATGTTGGCTGTGTGCCAATTGCCAGGCAACGCTTAACAAAGTCGCGTGTCAAGTGTCGCATGCGGCCGAGCCCGGCCCGGCCCGGCCCTAAAGCTGTCCAGGTATACCCTTTCAAGCAGCTGTTAGGGCTGTTAACGCTTTTGATTGCCATTGAAAGCGTAATTAAAGTCAACAAATGGAAAACATAATTCAACACTTTCACAACATAATTGAAGCTTGCCAAGAATATTTACGACCCATCAAAATAGACACAGCACAATACAAAAATTGTAGCAATAAAACACACCACAAAAAAACTGTATTACACTTGACCTTCCTTGACTTATGGGTAACACCCGGCCACACCCGCAAATTGGCAACTCATAAACAAGATAAACAGTTAACAAAAAACAACAAAACATCAAATAAATAAATGAATGTATAATCTAAAAAAATATATAAATAATAGCTGCCTCGATCGAATTCTATAAATATTTAAACCAAAAAAGCTCGAAGCTAAAAAAATAATAAATTAGACGCCTGCGTCTATATAATAGTTTTATATAAACTCGACATGTCTATAGCTAGTTGGCCGTTTTTTTCGCAATGAGTAAATAGAAATACATTTTCAACGTGTAAATATTTGGGTAGTTGAAATGCGAGAAAGAGACCAGAGCAGGTAAATGAATTGAGTAAACAACGAGAAGCAATGGAAAAGCCAGCCGCAGCAGCAGCTGAACACAAGCGACGGAGACTATCAAAAATATCAACGAGACTGTCAGAAAAATGTTTTGCGCTCTGGCATAACAGAAAAGCAGATAAAAGCAATGAAATACGAAAGCCAGACAAACTAAAATTAGTAACAGATACAGTCAAACATCCATGTGGATGTATTAGAAAATGAAATGAATTTCTGCGAACAAATCAAAAAGCAGAAAGATATGAAAAAGAAATGTGCAAAGCGTTTATGCTATTTGTCGCCCCAGTCACAATTTAATGAGAAAAAGCCAGCTGGCGTTTTGGACGTTTGTGTTGCGACTTATAAACATGGCCAACACATGAGTTGCCTTTAAGGCGAACAAAGCTACTTAGTACACACAGCTTGCCCTCCTTTCGCTCGGCTCTTGTCTGCTAGATTCTGTATGCTATTTAGGCTGGGAATATGTTTTATGGCCCGTTTTGGAATGCCGAATGCACCTTATGGGAATTGGGCAACGCATTTAGCTAAACACATTTGAATTATTGTCTTTGGCAGAGTGGTAGGCTAACTTGGCTAACGGAACTCATGCGCACGTTGCGTATACGTCACGAGGGCATTATGAGTCCAGGCAATTATCGCCACAGTTTACATAGCTCTAATAGTTAAATACAAGTAATTTGCGGATGCGGGTTAGAATTAAAGAGAAAAACGCTGAGGCTTTGAGTGAGTGCGGTCGGCAAATGAAGCTAGTTAAATAAATGAATTCAGCTTATTGAAAATGCAAGTTAATTAAACTGTTATTTAACGACCCAACGTGTAGGCACACAAAATTGACGCTAAAAAGCTGCTAAAACACTAAAATTTGCCTGCGGCCAACGTCGAAAGCACTAATATTTACATACTGCTGGCCCAGTGCCAACATCCAACAAAAAGTGGCATCTGAAACAGCGAACTGGATAAGCTTCACGTTTATAGAGAGTAGCTAACGTGAACGTAGAGCTGGCGTCAACAAATTGAGGCATTAAAACCCTCAAGCAATTTAAAGGACGTAAACGGATGCCCGTTAGCTGAGCCAAGCATAAACTCCGGATACGCTAAGTGCGTGCCAAGCTACGGGCTGTAATAACAGAAATGGCAAAAGTATTCCTGGCGATTTCAGCATCAATTAAACCAGCATCACAGAACGATCTGAGTAATTGCATTAATCATTTAAAACAATTGCGCAATAACACAACTTACTTCATTAAACTTCTGATTAAAAGTTGCATACTTTACAACTAACAATAATAGAAAACTGAATGCTCGAAGTGAATAATTTCTCGCATTAATAAATGCAAAAAGACCGCACACTCAAAGCCTGACTGTATAAATATATTTTTATTTAACATGACATACAAGAAAAAAGAGACGAAGAAGAAGCAGAAGAAGCATACAAAGTACAAAGAAAATAAAACTGAAGCCAGCTGCCAGCTGCCAGCTGCCAACGCCTTGAAAATCTGCACGAAAAATATGCTTAGCTTAATGCCACACGAAAAATGTGGGTCTTACATCAAGACGTATCCTTTGACTTTTGAGCATGTATGAGTCCAATTTTGCATGCGCCTTTGGGAAACTGCGAGTCAAGGCGTCAACTCTAAAGGCACGAACCATTTTAATTTACTTACAA